GGTTGGAGGCCCTTGATACTACAGGTTGGAGGCCATCGCTACTAGGTGAAAGCCATCGCGAATAGGTTGGAGGCCATCCCTACTAGGTCGGAGGCCACCGCCATTAGGAGGCCATCGCTATTAGGTTGGAGGCCATTGCTACTGAGTAGGTTGCATCGCTGGAGGCCATTGCTACTAGGTTGGAGGCCATTGGTATCAGGTTGGAGGCCCTTGATACTATAGGTTGGAGGCCATCGCTACTAGGTTGGAGGCCATTGCGACTAGGTTGAAGGCCATCGCGGTAGTAGGTTGGCCATCGCTATTGGGCTGGAGGTCATGGCTACCAAATTGGAGGCCATCGCTACTAGGCTGGAGGCCATTGCTACTAGGTTGGAGGCCCTTGCTACTAGGTTGGAGGTCATTGCTAGCAGGTTGGAGGGTTCTGTGCGGCTCTGGTTTCTCAGAATTTCTCAGACCTTGGCCACGAAACGGCCTGCACATAGGTGTTTGATACTCTGCAGAGTGGCTTTATGCTTCGGATTGGTACGATTTCATGGGGCGATGATACAAACCAACTCATAGATTCTAAAGTACACTGCATCCAAGAGTGCCGACCAAGCCGGGCTACACAATCCGGAAAGTGATGACCTTGTCCTGTCCCGTTGGTGGCTGGCAGTGCACGTTAAAACGCAGCTTATCCATTCTTCTTCTCCAGCTTCGAAGCCGTTCCAGGTTTGCAAAACCACGGCCCATGCACGCCGTGCCGTGCCAAAGGGAATCAGTATGATGTAAAGGATGAGTAGGCTAAGTGTATCCACAATTGTCTATATATGCGTGTGCACCGACTAGTAGCCCAACGAATCCTTCTCCATAGGCATTGTGTTTTTTGTTCTTGTGTTTGTGTCTAAGCCTCTAGCCGCTAGAGAACTTCCGCTATGTTCTCCAGACTGCAGTCTTAAAAGTCTCTGAAAATCGTCATTGAGTCAAGTCGTTTCCGTTGACTCGAGAGCCGAGAGCGGAGACAAACACTCTACCACAGACCACCTCAGTGCCAACATGGTCTCTCAAACTCTCAAACTCCAAGCCAGAACACTGCGCAACAATCAAATGACTTGCATCTTAAACCCCGGGGCCGGAGATACTATATTTACACCATGTTTTGGGAATTGCAGGTGGTCAGGTCCAGGTGGTTCAGAATGCCTTCCATCAAAAGTAGGCAAACTTTGAGCACCAATCACATGTCGCCCACCAGGCTTCAAACAAAAGCTCTCCCAAGTTGCATATATAGTGCGGCTGCTTGCGTAGACGAACAAAACTTGGCAGGAAACAATCTGCGTAGTCTGAAACTTGATTCTTAGGAACCTGATCACCCCTGTGTTCTTACTACACATGGCTTCGCACGACTGCCTGTGGGATCCATGTATGTCAGTACGTTTCACTGCCTGTTTCACTCAAAATGCATGGACGATTCGGTCGTATCATGTCGCATCCCCAAACCAACCACACACCAACGCGCGCCATCCTTTTCTGTCACATTCCGAGGGACCTTGGCCAGGACAAATGGACAAATCGGTGAATAAATTATTTGTACTATATGCATATGTATGTATGTATGTATGTATGTGTATTTTTTTCTCCTAAAGTTGTTTCTCGAGGGCCGTTTTGGCCAGTCTGTGGCGGGGTCAGTCAGCTCAGTAGTTCTTCACCCCGTTGCCCGTTAGCTGCAGCCTGGTGCCCTAGAAGAAGTCCACCTCAAAGCCGGCGTCAGGAGCCGAGTCTTCTTCGGAGGCTGTCATTTCTTGGTCAGTGGGGCTTGGCGTGGTTCCTGACTCCCTTTCATCAAAGGATGTTGGGAAGTGCAGCCTGCGTGGAGTGGGTCTAGTGCTGACTGCCTGTGCGTGGGCCTCAGTTGGCCGTTGTGCATCTGCTTCTGCTTGGCCTTGGCCGTCACTCTTCTTTTTGAAGTACTCGCTCAGGGGCGGGGAGCCTTTGGTGCCGGCTCCTTTGCAGACTTTGGTCAGGTTTTGGTTGGTGATGATGCGCTGCTCACCATCGAGGTTCCACTGGCAGCCGCATTGGGTGCACTTCACCTTTTCCCCTTTTTGCCAGAGGCTGTGGCTTGGGTGTGCTTGTGGTGGCTGCGGAAAGGGCTGATCGATGCACTTGGAGTTGATGAAGTGCTGGAAGGCCTCTTCATTGACTCTTTTGTGGGTGTTGACCCCGCATTTGAGGCATTTGAGGTAGCCAGTGGTCTCAGCAAACTGGTGCGCTGAAGGGTCTGGTGCCTGTTGCTGCTGGTGAAGCAGAAGGGCCTTGATGACTTGGGCCCTTGTGGTCTTTTTGACCAGAGGTTCTGCTTTGGACGGCGTGGCGTGAGCATCTTCAATGAGGACTTGAGGGCAGTCTTCATGGAGGCGCTCTTCCAGGATGCTTTTGGTCAGTCCTTGGTGCATTCGGGTGCCACAGGCCGTACATTGATAGCCGCTTCGATGGGGTTCCCACCTGTGGTGGTTGTCAGTCCAGCTTTTGGCACATTGCTTCACCAGGTCACGCTTGTACTGCTTGGTGTGTTTCCCTTGGTGTCGGGGTGCTTTCTGATGAATGAAGTGCTGTGGATCTTCATAGATTTTGGCCAAACGTTGCACAGCATGGGTGTAGATCAGTTTATGGTCCGTGTCCAAGACCTTTTGCCATTCCTCCTGCTTGTGGTCCTGGAATTGCTTGCCTCTTTCCCATGCCGTCAGGGCTGAATCCCGCAGGCGGCGCCTGAGCTGTGGCTCGTTGCCTGGTGCATCGGGAGTTCGGGTTGCCCTGCTGATGTAGAGCACCTGAATGCCCTTGAAGTCCTCTTCCGAGATGTCCTCGAGAAGGTCTTGGAAGGCCGCTCTGCTTTTGGGCTGGTGCCAGGCTTCCCATACTGTGGCCAGTTGAACGATGACTTTGGTTTGGGTGGTGGTGTGCTTGGCCAGGGCAACTACTCCCGCAAGCAGTGCTCTGGCCTTGGTTTGTGCTCCTTTGGCAACTCCGGTGATGGCTCCGAGCCTTTTGAGCTGTCCCAAGGACATGGTGTGCACGCATAGGCCGAACACCCACAGTTGTGTGCGCTCATCATAGGAGGATGGTGTGGCATCCAGGGTGTAGGCCCAGCCATTGTGAGGTTGGGGTGCTAAGGGTGCTAAGTCCGCCCAACATCCATGGCCCTGGTAGGGTTGGTCGTGGGTTCTGTGGTATTGCGGCTCCAGAGGAATCCATCCTGCTGACCACAAAGGATCTTCATCTTTTGAAGTGATTCGCTCCATCCATTCTGGCGGCATTGGCTCATGTTTCTGCGTTTTGTGCCACTTGCAGAGCCAAAGGATATGCTTGGGTGTGGCATCAACCTGACACAATGGGCACTTCTTGACCTTGGTGGCCTCACGGTATTGCACTGCTGCCTGTACCCATGTGTTGAGGTGCCGGGAGGGTTTTCTTCACCTCGTGATAGGTATGCCAGTCCAAGCCTGCAATGAGGTGGTGATGGTAGGGTCTGCTGGCCAGTCTGTTGATGCGTTGTGATTTGGCTTCTTGTCGCAGGGCTCTCTCCAACTTCCACCATGGTTGATGGAGGTCGAGCTCATTGCTCAACATGAGCGGGGTCTCTGGTCTGGTCCATCTCATGAGTGTGGCTGCCTGCCATCCCCATTCCTGGAGATATGTGATTGCTGCGGCCATGGGACCCCTGACTGTGTACCAGGGGTATTGTTTGGCTTGGAGCTGGTGGAAAGTGGTTTCCAGGCCTGTTCGAGAGCAGCGATTTGGTCGTGGGGCCAGGCCTGGATGAGGCGGTGGATGGCTTTGATGTGGTGGATGATGACTTGGTCGCCGGGATCGGTGTACTTCTTTTGGTGGAGATCGTATGTGCTGTCAAGCAGGCCTCCATTGTGATGTCCGAGGTGTTTGGCCATAGCCTGTCTGAGTGCAGTGCGGTATCTTGGTGCTAGCCCTTGACCCTCTACACCCCATAATGCTGCTGGCTGGATTCCTCCTCGATGGAGTCGGAGCCTGATCTTCAGGGCCGGGATTCGGAGGGTGCGGAGCTTCAAGTTTCTTTTGGAGGCCTTGGCCAGTCGTTGCTTCATGACGGGAATCCTCCTCCGCCTTGCACCTTGATGGTCAACTCCCAAATCCCGCATGACCAGTTCAACTGGTGGTTCATCAGGTTGGAGTAGAGCTCGGAGGGCCTTGTCGGTGCTCTTGTGGGTGGCTATGAAAGCCATCTTTTGTGGGTTGACCTTGAGGCCCAGTCCAACCAGTCTCTGGTGCAGGTCTCTGTAGGCGTCGACCGCCCGTTTGGCCACTGTCAAAGGTGTTGAACCTGCCGTGTCAAAACCGACATCGTCAACCCAGCTGGAGAGGTGGACATCCGGGTGGTTTGCCTTCCACGGTTGGAGCGCTGGTGCCAGCACCGCCTTGGCCAGTAAAGGTGCTTGGGGGCAACCAGCTGGGACTCCATTTTGGACGGTGAAGAACGGTGTCATTTCCTGCTCCGCCACGATTGCTTTGGGTCCAGTATAGAGCTGCATGGCCAGTTCTAACATCAGCGGAGGGTAGTTGAGCTGCATGGCCTCGTGCTGGAGCCGTGTGAGGTTGATGGTGTCATAGAAAGTGGACATGTCCATGAGGCAGGTGACGCCATGACAGCCATTGGCTCTGTGCACCTCTTGTCTCAACAGCCTTTCCAAGGCCACCTGCAGGACTTGGGCACCAGGACGTGCTCTGTCATGATCCATTGAGGCTGGGAGCTGTTGTTGCCACTGGTCGAGCAGGGGTTTCCTCAGTCGGCACCATACACGGTAGAGCAGAGAGGTGAGTGTGATTGGCCTCTCTTTGGTGCCTGATTTGGGGAGCATGATGACCATGTGCATCTGCTGCTGAGTCGGAAGTTGTGCCTGAAGCTCCATCTCCTGAAAGAGCTTGAGAAGAGGTGGTAATGCCAGTGGTGGGGCTGTCCGAAGGAGCTGGGCCGTGACTGCATCTGGTCCGCATGCTTTGTCTGGTAGGTTCTTGAGTGCCCAGGCAAGCTGACCAATGGTCAGGGGTTCAAGTTGTTGAGCTTGGTGCTTTGCAGCCTCTTGCAGGCTGGGTCTTTCATGAGGCTGGTCAGTTTGCCTAATTTGCCAAAGCTGTCCCCAGTCGTTGAGTCGTTGTGTCATTCTATCCTCTGGTGGAAGTTGGCGATAGGGACGCTCCCAGGCTAGTTCTCCTTGCTTGAGCCACTCTTTGTATTGGAGATGGCCTTCATCATTGGCTGCCTGTTGTGCTTCTTTGAGCTGGTGTGAAATGGTGTGCAGCACCAGCTCGGCGGCGTGGGGGTCTCTGTATTTCAACCAGTGATGACTGGTGTCCATCAGCTGTCCCCAGGTCGGTGGTCCGATCCAATGTTTGGGAGCATCTTGGAGGGCTTGCTTGAAACCTCGAACTGGGCCAAGTTGCATGGTCTTGGGTTGTTTTGTGGCCAACTGGAATCTGATTTTGAGCTGTTCCCAAAATGCAGGCTTGCCCTTCCGCCACGTGGTGGTGATTTTGGTGGGCACCAATGGCTTGATAGCCACTCTCAAGTTTGCTCCGCGTCCCTGAGCCGCCCATGCTCTTGGAGCAAGTACTGCTCGGTGCAGGACAGCCAGTCAGCCCAGTGCTTGGCTGATGCATTTGGTGGAATGCCATAAAGTTCAATCTCGAAGGCCTGAGATTGATACGAAGTCCACGGCCTGAAATCGATGTCTGGTGTTGCCGGTAGTGGTGGAAAGTGCTGAATCTGGCGGTACTCCTTGGTGGCCGCCTCAAGGTCGAGTTGGAGGGTGAGGAGAGTGTGTGGTCGCCATGGGACAGCCCAGTCAGTGGTGAGGGCCGTAGTTGAAGCCAGCGAGGTGTGTAGCAAGGCAAAGTCGATCACATTGCCGGAGAGAATGCTGTGATCTGGTGCTTTGATGTCGAAGTGGAACTTGGAAGGCAGCACGGTGCTCAGGAAGCTGCTCGGGTTGTTCTGCCAGTCCCCCAAGAGGATAAAGGGATGCTTGGAAGCTTCGACAAGTGCTAGCAGTTTGGCCACAATGGTGGAGTTGGTGTCAGATTGTATACCCTCTCCTGTCTTCAGGTATACCCCGGCGATGAGGATGGTGCAGTCAGTGGCCTGCCAGAGAAAAGCTTGGTAGCCGCAGCCCTGGCAAGTGAAGGACTCCAGTGGCGTGAGTCCACAGGCCTGGTCCCCCAGGACAAGGATGCCACCATGCGTGCCTGAGTTGTCCTCATTTGGATGAGCCGGGACTCCAAAGGCCGTTCTGCCGCGGATGGTGAAATACTGGCAAGTTTGCTGATGCTTCTGTGGATCTAGATGCGTCTCAACGAAGATGTGGACTTCACTTTGTCGGGCCCAGCACCTGCCTGCCAAAGTTTGTGATGTTGGCAAAGTGTATGTGGTTGTGTGGCTGTTCAAGCCGTGGCCTCTTGTCTGGGCTGGGGTGAAGAGGCGGATCATAGTCAGGCTCCTCAGGCGGTGGGAGTGACCGAATGACTTGCTGTGTGGTTCTGAAGGTGTCGATGTGTACCGCCCAAACTTGGGTGACCTGGCTGGCAAGTTGAGGCGTCAGGTGCTCCAAATGTGTTGGCGGCTTGCCATCGTCTGCAATCCACATCAAGTCTCTGTAGATGAGGATGGCGAAGTAGTGACCATTGTTGTGGCTGGGTCCTCGATGGCAGATGAGAGCCGCCGGTACGAACTCTGCAGAGGTCCGTGCAAAGCCATCAAGTGACCTAGGCACTGTGAAGCTGCCGTATGGGTTGAGGATCTTGGCATGCTTGGTCATTGTGCCCTCCACGCAGGTGTTCCTGGTGATGTGGCTGATGAGCACCGGCTTGTCGTCGAGCAGGTATTGTCCAAGCCCATTGTTGGCCCATCCATTGAAAAGGTCCTGCAGCCGTCATGTAGTCCTCTGAAATCAGCTTGAGGGCCTGTTGACCGTCGGTGAGCTTTTGTTGAAGCTCTTGCATCTCATGAAGGAGCGTTTGGTATTGTGCCTTAGTTTGGTCCAGCTTCTCCTGTAGTTGGGTCTTCTTCATGGAGAGGTTCTTCAGGTCTGAGACTTGTCCCTTCAACTTGATGGCGATGTCTTGTTCGGAGACCGGAGCCGGTGCAGTGAGGCGGGTAACAACCTCTTGGACTTGTGCTGGAAGAGACGCCATGTGTGTTTTGAGCATCTCATGGAGATCTGGTTCAGGAGGTTTCTTGGGTCCAATGCCAAGATGCTGGAGCTTGTCCTGGAGTTCACTGGACATGGCACTCCAAACTGGCTCCAGGAGTTCAGTGGCCTCCTTCTGGATCTTGGTCTTCTTCAATGGCTTCAGCTTGTCCAAACCTGGTGGCGTGTCAAGCCATGTGGTGTTCCTGGACATGTCTGTCTTGGCTGGTCGTCCTTGTCCTTTGCCTTTGCCCGTGCCGCCTTGGGTGACCTTGAGGACAGGCCACCAGGTGCCGCACATCCTGCATCGGGTGTCCGGCCTGAGCTTGTCTTGCCATATCCAGTTCTTGCACTGTCCTTGCCGGCATGTGACATAGCTCCTGCACCAAGAGGTAGTTCTGGAGGTTGTCATAGCTCAGGATGGGCGAGGCCTCAAGGTGCTGCTGCAAGGCAGTGGAGAGGGCAGTGGCCGTATCACCGAACTCGAACAGGCCTATCTGATAGGCAATGCTGTAGTGCCAGTCACCTCCAAGTCCCCGCGGAGGTAGCTAAGCGAGCACTGCCAGGTGCCAAAGGTGAGTACGAGAGCGTGGAAGGAGAAGACCTGGATAGCTAGCAAAGAGTGTATTCTAGTTCAGGATCTCCTTGGGCCGTGCTCGGTCAGGTACTCCTTGCACCTGTAGCGAGTTGGGCTTTCCACACTGGCGGGACTTCGTGGGCTGCCCGCTTGAGGTGGAAATGGCTTGAGCCGTATGTATGTGTATGTATGTATGTATGCATGCATGCATGTATGTATGTATGTATATGTACACAAGGATATGTTAGGATAGTGACTGCACATTACCATACAATATTAGGGCCAACTGTATGAGGGTAGGGTTGGGTTCAGTGATATGACTGTATGGCCCAACTTCACACGCACACATGTATATTACACAAACACGTGGAATCAACTGCGGAATCTCATAGTGGAGAGAATAGTGAATAGTGGCCGGCTTCATGTCCACCTGGTCCTTGTTTTGGAGGGTTCCATGGGAAGGTGCACTCACACATGGAACTTAGCCTGCCCTTGGAAAATGACTTTCCTGTACAAATAGCTGCTTTGTCGGCAAGCCATTGCATGAACCTCTGATACTGTGTGTCAGGCCCACCTCCAGCGCCAAGCCACAAAAGCCATTCCTTGATCTTCCTGAGGAAAAAACACCGGGTTTCACGCTTCAGTCGGCGAAACGTCCGACTCTGAGATGGTTCAAATTGCTATTTGGACCACACTCTTCCCACCAATCAGCCAACTCTTCAGGTGTTTCACACGTGGTCAACTCTTCAGGTGTTGCACTAGCATCAGGTTTTTGCAACATTTGTGCCCAGCGGCCACTTGTGATAGCCACGGACCTCCAATTTCCCGGGGCGCTCACGACATGGAGACTCACACACCTTGGACAGCGGGACACCCGGGGCATTTGAGCGTGAAAGTCTTGGGGGAAAAGCCAAAAGTACTCCACATGGAACTAGACACATGTGCAATTCTCTTTGTCAAAGCTGTCATACGAGCCCTACATAATATGAGACTAGTACACGTACAATCTTCTTGTGTGGCCTGTGTGGCCTTCAGCTCACAAAATACATCAACATACCGTGCCTGGCGGTGCAAATCTAAGGAACCAATGAATGTCCCTACCGGGAGATCCCAGTTTGCATCCCGGGCCATCATTCTCATACATTCTCATGGCCTCCCCCTCAAACGCCAAGTCCACAGCCTGATAAGAACACTGTTCTTCAAATCTGCATCGGGAATCCTTCGAGTTCGAACCAAAAATGCATATAGAATTTACACATTATTGCTGGGATGCAGGGAGGGACCAGCATGAATGAAGCACCTCCTGGGTCCGGACCTAGACCTCCTTTCGAGTGACCCATCTCCTTCCGCCAAAAGGCGGACATCAGTTCCTTGCGTATCGCCTCGATGTCACCAAAGATGTGGGTCACAATCGTGGTCACCTCTTTCCCCGCGTAGCGGTACCTCGGCCAAGGAGGCAGGAGGCACAATGAAACTCTTCGAAGTCAGCTGCGTGGGGTCCAGAACCGCTGTGGTCCAAAACGGATACATGTGTGGTCCAAAAGCGCATTAACACCCACATGTTTCTCTCCAATGTGTATATTTAGATATATGTGTACACGATATACTTTGAGAACTCAATCTGAAAATGCCTCGGATGACTCTCTGGCCCCCAAGTGGCAAATGTACAACATACTGTCAAACTTATTGTGTGGCTGAAGGTCATCAGGATTAGGCGACAGTAATGATGCATTAAATGGTTTTGAGTGAGCGCGTTGCCGATTATCCAAAATACAGTACATGTTAAGTTCTTGTTCATAGATCATGTAAATGTATAACTTGCGCAACCTGGCACACATGCCACCTTTTGGAATACACCCAGAGTCTCCGTCATGCATAGACTTAGACTCTTCTTGTGAATAGGGGGGTCACAGTAGGCACAATGCTTGCAAATTGAATCAAACTGAGACAGTCCACTTCCAAGGCAAATCCAGAGAACATCGATCTTTGGTCTCTTCAGGTCTCAATCCGGCATGCCCATCCTGGCCTGGAATAGACTGGAAGCTCTCCATTTTGACTCCTAAGCACCTTCCAGGGTCTGGTCGACCCCGGCTCCAGAGGCTCAACGCGCAAGGGGGAGCTCGGATCCAAATAGGGCGGCTTGTAGTGCATCCAGCCCTGAAGCGTCTTCGAGGGCTGGATGAAAGTCCCAGATCAATCCGATCAATCCGAAGTCCCCGATAAAGCGGACATGTCGACATTCTGGACACCGCGCAATTGGTGGGACATCTGGGCTTGGGGTTGTAAAAATTGCCCCTAATGTATCCTACCTATATATTATATATATATACTGTCACTAGGATTCCGCTGATTCAGCCGCAAACTTCGCATCACATGGGGAGCATTCTCAAGACCTGGTCCGATTCCGGTTTGACGGGCCCAGCCGTTCGAAGGGCCAACAAACAGAACCTTCCAGGGCAAGGGAGCTGAGCAGGATTTGCCTCGTCCATGATGAGCGAGTGGAGGCGAGGGGATGCACCACCACGCGGAGAATTGATCTTGAGATCGTAGCCACCTTTTCGCAACTCCTGGGACCAAACTTGGATCCAAAGTAAGCTTCCTCGGCCAAAAAAACGAGTTCGTTCACACGCGCCATTGTACTAGTCAGTTGCATCACATGTCATGTCCGTGTTTGACACGTTGTCCCTACGTGCATGGCGACCACCCTCGGCCGTCCTTAAGCGGCTCTGGACGAGCCCGTGGCTGCAGGGCGGGCAACACCAAGGGCACCGGTGCCGGCACTTTGGCTCGGCGCGCAAAGCTTCGGCACCAGGCCCGGCCCACGAGCTGGGCCCAGGGTGGGCGGGAGCACATCCGGAAGGACATCGCCCAGAAAGGATCAGAAAGGGGGGATCGGGGTTCTTAAGAGATTTCAGGTGCTTTTTGGAATGATGGTCAGATCGAGGCTGGCTTCTATCTAGTTTCCAGGTTGAGGTTTGCATCTGTTGTCTCTTGCTGTTTGTTGGGTGATCTTTATGCTTTGGAATTGGTGCCTTGTGGCATCCTTTGTTCCTTGGGGTGCCCTCGTGAAGAGCCAGAATGTGAAGCAGCGTCAATCAAATTTATAGTCACAAAAACACAGAATGCCCAATTTGAGTGTCTGAGAACTTCTAGCTACTCAAACATGTTGCGTGGAGAATAGGGTGCACTAGCACAACCAAGGAAAACCTCTGTACTGGCTGTGAAGTTCTGTGAAGTCAAAGACGTGCTTCCCAACAGCTCAACACCTTCGACTGCCATCCGCCAGCGGCGCGTTCCCTGGGCGACCCTAACGATGCTTCGCATGAAGGCGATGAAGTCCTGACCGGTGTCGGCGGCACGGAGGGCTTTTGGAGCTGCCACAAGCGGACTACTTACTAGTGACGGGGCACTTGGATGCCTTGGAGCAAAAGGTGGCAGTGATTATCACAGACTGGTAGCGCCTGGGAATACACGTAAGCTGGTTAGAGGAAGGGCCTATTTTGTTCCATCTCTCAGCGGTGGTTTGACCCCTCATGTTTGGGAACGGGAGTGCTGGACATGGGGGCCCAAAGTAGGTGACGAATTATGGAAGACATGGATCCTCGTCTAAAGTGATCTCTGGTTTTGTGAGATCTACTCTGGACTCACTTGACATGTTGTTCGGCGGGAGGGGCTCGTCTTGACTTACCATAAACGATCTCTGCACTCATTGCGGTTAGGACACAAGGACCTCTTACCCGTGTCAAAAGGGTCATTGGAAGACCTCCAGCACCGCCTCACACAAAGGACGTCATCCGAAGACGAAGTTACGACCGCGCCCACGCGTTCCGTACGGGTTCCGTGCCCAAAGCCGCCGGGACAAGACCTGCGCATTCAGCTGTATCTTCTTGATGAAGGGCTCCAGCTTCTTCCAGGCCGCCTGGAACGGCACGGCACGACAGCGTCGCTGGCGCCTCGCTCGCTGGCGCCTCGACAGCTCTATGAAACCAGTCGTGCGGACGATGGGTATGTCGACAGTCTACAGTGGTTTCAGAGTAGATGGCACCATCCCCAATGTCGGTGGTTCATATGAAACCCCCATCTAAATGACATGTAGGGTTTGTGCGATACCACTGTAGTCATCTTGCAACAAGACTTGTTGCAACTGTCCGGGGAGTCCACAACAAAACATTGCAGGTGGACAAATGTCAAATTGTTGAGGACTTCAGGTGGGGAAGAGCGAAAAGCGACCCTAGATTCCGAGCTCCATGCAACTAAAGCATTGGGTTGGGTGGGATTTGTTCTCACGTTGCTACTCAATAGATTCACTAGATATGGTGGAGATTCGTGGAGTTCTCCATGCCCCGATCAGCCACTGGAGACTGGTCTATCTATATGACCATCTCTCTCTCTCTCTCTCTCTGTCCCTCTCTCTCTCAACTCTTTCCATTGGTCTCTGTCAAATGTCCCATGCTCTTGCTAACCAACGTGGACCTCTGGGGATCGAAACGGTCAAAGCTTCGACCCCTGGAGCCGAGTCCTGCGTGATGGTCTCCGTGGTGAGGTAGCCTCAAGTGACCCAACGAGCGACAGCTCAACCGCCAGATCGTGTGCCCAGTGCCATGACCCATGAGCTGTTCAACGCAATACGAATCTGGCCATCAGTCAAGGAAGATGCCTACATGGAAGACCGTTATGGCGTTTAACAGTCAGTCTCACACAGTCCATGCAGTTGAATATAGTTGAATAGTTGAATGCCATGGTGTAAGCACCTGCCGAGAGGTGTCCAAAGAGTGGTTTCCATTTGCTGCATGAGGCAAATGCAGCCCCATTCAACCAAAGCATGAACAAGATTGAATAAGTGGCTACAAGGTTGAATTCTTGTCTCAGCTCCCGATAGCTCCCGTCTTCGTCTTGCCTATTCCATCACTCCGCACGTGCCCCCGTCTCGGTGCACTGGCCGGTTCCAAAACCCCACACATCCTGCTTTCCAAACAGTTGCCCTTCATTGCCCTTCTGCCCCCCCCAAAAGAATATAGGCATGGAAAACACATGAAACGAGTGGAGGAAAAATCTCTGTGGCGATGCATGTCACCATTTGCAACAAGGCGCTGAAGGCCTCTGCGACGCCCTGACTGTCCAGCCTGACCGGCCAACATGTCCCAGCAAGCAAACATCTGCTGGCCTTGGCGCAAATAACTAGTAACTAGTTACTAAGGCCAGTCTTAGCCTATATACATACAGTGCTGCACCACATGAGCGCAGTACAGCAGCACTGCTTGTGCGGCTTGTTCGTCCCCAGCTCTGCAGGGCGGTCCCAGTGGTGGCCTCTTCACCTTCAAGGCACACATGGCATCGTCGAACTCTTCTGAGGTCATGGCACCTGGGAGATGCGAGGACCGAGCGGCCGGGGATGTGGCCTTCTTAGCCTGCAGTTTGGATGGCTAAACCACGCCAAAAGCTAGGGCCAAGGGGGAAAACACGCTGCATGCAGCAAGGTCCTTCTGTGCAAACTCACTACGTCCTGAAAAGTTCATCACATTCTCCGCACCAGTCCATGAAACTATTCACCCAACGCTCACCATTGCGACGGTGAAGCCAAGCCCGCACGTGAATGGAAAGCAAAACTCTGCTCCATTCTGTTCGTGAGGGGGTTAGCGCTAAAACAATACAAAGCAACAAAGGCTGTTACACCACAGGTTGTTCACACATCCCATCACGAAGCTTGGGTACGTGGTACCACGGCTTCCGAGATGGAGGTGGGGAAACAAACGCCCATGGACCCATGCCCTATAAAAACACCTATACACAGGTTTGAAGGTGTTGCTTTCTGACCCATGGACCCATGGATTTGGCCACCCACGGCACCGCTTCGCTTCGCTTCGCTTCGCACGTCGCGCCAGGCACCGGCCGTGTCCACTCCGCCAGGTACGCTCTTCACGATGAGAGGATAAGCCTGGGGTGATCATGCCATTTGGGGGAAAATGGACTCTTGCAATCTAGATCGACTATACCTCGGGAATCCTCTGGAGGAAGGTGCACCCCTGCGCCGATGTTGCCGATGTCTCTTACGTCTGTGCCATCTGCTCCGAAACCACTGTGAATCTCAACCTTCAACATGATGTGGAAACGATGCCTGCAGAAGTAAGAGCCCAAGTAACAAGCACATTTAGCTGTGGGTGTTGTTGCTTTGGTTGGGAGAGATCGTTTGGAGCGACCACTGAGTCACGCACATGCTGAGGCTAACCGGCTAATGCTGGAACCGAGGCTAAACCATGTAGGTCAAGCTTCATTGAGGTTTAATCATCTAAAACCAGTGTGCACCCTGACATTCCACAAGCCTTTGCGTCTCCCCTTTTCTTGGAGCCATCATCTATCAACGCTCAGGTAACAGGTAACATGCCAAGTGTTGCACTGCAGCCCGCGAACCCTTCACTCCGCTCACTCAAACCACCCGACCCTCTGATGCTGTTCCATCGGCCTTGACCACATCTGGATATCGAAGCATGAGCGACTGCGCCTGGGATGCCGACTGCTTCCTTTCGACCATGACTGGCCACTGCAACAAGAGTCCTCCCAAATCACCTCACATTCTTGGAAGCCAAATATGGTAAAACCCCCTGTAAGCCCCAAAAGTTTGTCCTTACATTGTCCTACATGATTAGAGAATCAGATTGAACAAGTCGCATAGAAAACCTTTGCTTTGGTTGTTTAAGGTCAGGCGCCTCTTCCTCTTCTACCCGGGATGCCCTTCCGCCATCGGTGCGTGCTTCGAACGCGCCGCCAAGGCGCCAAGCGATAGATTTCCTGTGGAGCTTCCGGACAGTTGCACCAACACACCTGGTCCTCCGTGATGGACGTTGCAGACCTCAAAGAACGGTGTGGACCTTTTTGGAGGAGACGGTGTGGAAGGCTTCCCACCGTCTAGAGTCTGGTCCCATGGCCCCCATTTCGGTCCTGCATGCGATTTCATGCTAGTGACTAGCTGCTAGTCTAGTGATGTCTAGTGGTTGTTCCTATAACCAGCACAAAATTTTGTTTCTCCAACATAACCACAGTAAAACCGGCCAAACCTGCAAAAAAAGTCGAGAGAATGCGTCCGTGCAAAATCCGTCCGAGTCTCCAGAAGCCCAAGCTTTCCAAAAGTTGTCGTCGACACTTCAGATTGCGATTTGATTGAAGATAGTCAAGAACTTTTCCTGGCCAAAAAGTGATGCCAAAGGCAACTTGTCCAGTGACATGTTCTTTTGCTGCTATCTCTTCTTCTGGAACTCGCTTTGGAACTCGCGTTGGAGGGTTCAAAACGAAAAGCAAAAGGCACAAACGCGTTGGAGGCTTTGTAAGCGAAAATGTTGCAACTTCAGCCGAAGCTTAAAGGAAACTGCTCATCCTCAAGTGTCTGAAGTTGTGTTCGGTCTCAAGGATGTTTGCGGTGCGTTGGCATTTCCGCCTTGCGCCTGATGAGCAAAGAACACCCACTGGTGCCTCCTTTGAGAGGAGCACTATCAACAAACAATAAGACACGGTTTTTCCACTCGTCCGTGCTGTTCGGATAGCCCCCTTTGCAAGCACTTCCTTCATCTCCTTCACAACACCTCTGTGAGGCATGGGCAGCCTTTTGTTCACCGAGCCTGCCGGTCTGCCCTCCATATTTTGTCCAAGGCTTGCCCTAAGACAAGAAAGCGCTCCCAAAAGGAACGGGTGGTGAAACCGATGACTCTTTCTTACATGGCAAGTTCCTGTTCCTTTCAATATTCTTAATGGACCCCAATCCCCAAAAATGTGTGTGCACCATGGTGAACCATTCACGGCGAATTCCAACGTTATTCGTCCAACTATTCCAACAGCGAATTCCCCTGTCCTCGAAAAATCCCTTGCCTCAGTGGGGCAAGAAACGGTGATGCCGGCGGAAGTCAGGCAATCACGATTCAGCGGTTGCTGGATGAAGGTGAATGGGGTTGATTTCAAACACGTGTGGTGTGGTGTAGCCATGTGTCATCCAAACGCGGAAAACAACACTTGCGAAATCGATCAAGATGGGGGCGTAGTTGTCAGGTTGGGGAAAACATATAACATGGCGACAAAGGCACAAGTGATGTCTGATACCCGGTGCCCAGCTTTCTCAAAGAAATCAGCCAAAAGTAGTCTCTTAATCCCAAGAATGACTCACCTACAGCCCCTTGGTTCCAACACCAGCTGAAGCCCACCCCGTAGATTTAGGCACCCATGACATCCCATAATTACCCTTCTAAGGGATCCTCATGTCATGCGTGCCACTATGGGCCGCCAAGCTCTTGAGAGCAGTTTTCATCTGAATCCCTTACAGCCAAGCTGCATGGGTAGATTATCCAGACTTGCCTGAGCACATGGGTCGGCATCATTAAAAATCCATCGCTTGGCAAATGTCCCAAATGTCAAGGGATGGTTTCTGAAGGTTGCCCATCTTGCTTGACCAGTTTGTACTGTACAGTCCATTCAGCTGCCTCGCTCGCAAAGCGGAGCAAAGACAAACGCAGGATTCTTTAAAACACAAGAAGCCCTGGAAGACCTCCCAACCTCTAAGCATCCCCTTTCAAGAAAAATAAGGGCCCCCGCCGGCGGAACATTCCGGCGACCGAAACGCGTCGCCTCTCTGGAACTGCGCCAGAAGTCGGCCTCCTGTGACTCGTCCGAGAAGCTGGGCTCCTGCCGATGACGATCGCTACTCACCGCGCCGCCACAGATGGAGGTTGGAGACAGAGCAAGGGGAAGTACAAAGGTTTGAAAGCAAGGGTGCATATTGGGATAGCAAGGGTTGGAGGAACATTGGGCATGCAAGCCATGGCAGGATTGGTAGTTGGGAGCAGTGGGGGGAAGGTGGAGGAGTCATAGGAAGTAGCCGAACAACTGAACATGTACCATGCTTCTAGCTTTTGCGACGTCACTTAATGTCTGTCTGAAACATCGCGTGAAAGCTCATAATGCTTGCTCCAGTGTCTTTGCGTAGTCTCCCTCAACAAGATCTTTTACTGTGCTGCCGTCATCCTCCAGAATGCTCCAGCCCTCTGCTTCGCAAAGCTTAAAGACCTCAGCTGCACATCATGCATCCCAGCACTGCAAGCCCTTGGGCTCCAAAGGAAAGAAAAACAAGTACGTACACCTCCCTTTCAAGGAGATGAGGAACCTGATCCTCCTGACCATGCTTTGACTCTCCCCTCTGGCCCCAAAACACGAAACCAGCAGCGAACCAGGGCTATCCACACGGCCTCCCCAAACCAGGCCGGTGCCCCTGTCCCGTGGTCGCCCCGGGATGGGGCCACGAGACTGCCAAGGTGGCCAAGCGATGGTCGGAGTACTTCAAGTTCAGCTCGAAGTCGTAGCCCTGCCATTGGCGCCGAGTCGAGGCCCAGCCAAACCAGCGAGCCAAGAGATGCCCCGGTTTTGGGGGGCGAAGAAAGAGGTGCAAAGATGTCCAAACAGCCGTGAGTCATAATGGGTCGTTCCAAAAGTTCCATGCATCATGTCAGTCGAGAATCTAGACTGAGATTGATCTGCCGAGAATCCAAGAATGGACGAGGGGAAAGACTGCTTTAAATCGTCAGGAGTTTGATACCACATGGTTTGACTTAGCAACCCGTTCTATGTTGATCAGCAGGAAATCTTGCCCACACGGAGCTAACCCGGAGCAAACACATGTGTCAAACCATACTATGCATGTGATTCTTTTGAAGCCTTGATAGTGCCCCCAAGTCGCAGGGCGCTTAAATGGCAGGCTCATAGCCTCTGGGCTATGGCTCGTTTTCTAGAACACTCTTCCAAACAACTGGTATTACTTCATCGTTTGATGGGTGGGATTTCGTCTCGACCGTTCACTGCTTGCTACAAATATGTAATTGATGAAATACTCCTTCAGCACTCTGAAATGCCAGAGCAAAAGTCCCCATACAATGTACTCGCACTGTTGACATCTTTTGAGTATATATAATTATGTATAATTGTAAAATTCCTGCAGGGCGAGTTGCCGTATGAGCATCATCAAAAAATCATGCCAACTGAACAACCATGTCAAATAGAAGAGGTCTCCGGTCTCCGGATACATTTGCCTGCCTTGCCGTCTTAATTAAGTGGACAGTCTTTCACACAAGTGGCTTTATCCCGATCGTGTGATTCAATTTAAGGCCCTCCGCCTCTAGGCCTTCTGGAATTCTGTTACTAATTATAGGAAATCCCACATTGATCTTCCTTGTAGAATTGCCGCGCACTATCATCGCACCCCTTGTGCCTGTACTTCGACCGGCCAGGCCGGGAGTACAGCGACAAGTAGAACACGATCACCCGTTCCATGCAGCGTATGTTCGATCCCCTCTGCGGTCCTCCGGCTGGATGAATGGGAACGTCAAACATTGATTGAGCCTGGCAGTTGGAGGAACGCACAGCCACAGCAACGCACTGGCCAAACTGGTAGGTGGATGGAGTTGTGGTGTGTTCTCTCAGGAGTCTGATTCTTGGACCACCTAAGATGCCTGACAATGACTTCCACAGTTTATTAAGTGTGACGTTTGACATGTGGGCCTATGGGTGATCATGGCGTGTCTTTCAAAGGAGGACACCCATTGGACATCTCGTAGACTGCGTTGACAAATGTTGATAAAGAATTGAATTGAATGCTCAGCTGACTGGAGCAGCCCATATGCAACCAAGGGAACATGAGCCACCCTGCATCAAAAAAAATCATCAAAGATTCTCGTTTAAAACGTCCGTTCGACAAGTCTCGGAGAACAAACGGCCTGAAAGGATGCCGCTGGGCCAGCTCCAAGGTATCCAGGATCAGCTTGATGTTCTGAATGTCAGAGACCCTGGGCAGCGCTGCGGCATTTTCCATTTCCATCTTCGGAGTGTGAGACGTTCGCCGCCGAAGGCCTTCAAACACAAGTGCAGGAATTACCCCTAGGCCCTAAAGATGGACATGACGGGTACGTTGGGAATTCTCACAGAAGTGACTCAGCAGCTCTCTCAAATCCTCCCCCTGCGGCCCGTCAGGAGCCTTAGGAGAAAGAGCTCGAAAAGCCGTGCACGAGCTTCAGTGGAAGCCGTTTGCCAGCACAATGTTCGAAGCTGAAAAGCGGAGAACAGGAAGTGGTGAGCGACCTGGCAGCTGCCCGCACCAAGAGGCAGTCGGGGTTGGACAGGCGGTCAACGGTCGTCTCAGAGACGACAGTCGGTGGACATGTAGTGTGGAGAGACGGGTCCAATCCAACAGCAAGGCAAAGGCAAAGTGATTGAACCTGTGAAGCATCGTGTGCATACTGCATCCTGGTGGCACCAGCCCATGGTACACCCACCCAATATCACCCAATCAGGCACAGTCGGAGTCAAACACATGGGAACACATCAGTTGGTGGATTTTCCGATCGGCACTGGGTGGTGGATCCCGATGTTGAAGTCAAGTTGGTTTAGCCACTTGATCTCTCCCGTCTTTAGGCGCGCCCGGCGGACGGAGCCCCCCAGTGGTTCTTCCTCGTCCTTCTGCGAGGCACGGGGCGCAAGGCCGCGACTTTGGCCTCTTCCGAGAGCTGAGAGCAAAGCAGCGCCTGACTGGCGCAGTGGGTTCCCAGGGGATCGCCGTGTTCCACGGAAGTGGCCGGAACACCTGTTCCCGGCCTACCCCACTTCACCCCGGTGTGTCAGAGTGAGACTCCTCACATGGAAGACCCGTGCTGGTGGACCGGTCCCAGCGGGTGGATCGGGAAGTTGCGCACGTCAGTGATGGGCAGTTGGGTGAGTATATGGCACCACACCACACTTCAGTGTTCCAAACCTCAAAAAGTGGCCACTGCTTGCAATCCTGCTTCTAACTGAAGCCAGCCTCAAATATATGTTCCCGCTTTAGACTGCATCTTTAGTCGCCCAGTTCTGGCATGATCACTTGATCGAAATGCGCGCACCTGGCAAAGCTGCCGGAAGGGCTCCATCGCCATGATGGGTTCCTGAAGGGGCAAGCTACCTGAAGTGACGAGCCCATGTAGAAGCAATTACTTGGTGACGCGTGAACATGAGAATCACAAGTGAATCATCAATCATGTTCGATTCTATTCTTTATTTATATCCTTTTGTTCTGTTTCGTCCAATGGACGTCGGTCTGTTGAAGTCATCGGCTTCGAAGTGGTGCTTTTCGGGCGCCTCCATGACCTATGGCTCTGTTGCAAGAAAATTAATCCAAAGGCTGTAGTTCCAAAAGGGGCCGGTCGATGCCTGAAACTAATCAACTTACTAACAATGTCACTCTACAAACGGTGAGTTTTAACATGATTTCGCTTGTTGGGCGACCCTCGGTGGCTCAAAGTTGCACCACAGGTTCCAGCTTTGCCGACCCCGCTTCGTGTGAGGGGACGGACCAGCTGGAGAACCGCAACGGGACGGACCATCCGCCCCAAGCTTTGGCACTTGGGACGAGTCATGGAAGAATGATTCTATGGTAAAAAGACGTGGATGGCATGGCCCCCCAACAGGTGGTGAACTCCACTTCGATGCTCATTTTGGGGAGTGTAGGCTTAGAGTCAGTCATCAGTCCTCACCGTACTGTCCTCACCAGTTGGCCGCTTGCCACTGGCATATTCCAAGTCCAGCATGCCGTGCTCCGGCCAATTCCATTCAGCTAGTCCTCACATACAAGCTGGAATCCACCCAACATCACCCATCCAACCAGTGCACCAAACAACTTGGAACAACAGTGAAGGATTTGACGTTTGGGTGTGCATTAGAATCAATACAGTATAATCAGTATGTAGAATAGGGAGACCCCCAAAAAATATACATGGAAGAATAAAACATCGAAGGATATAGACCACGGGTGGTTGCTCTATAAAACACAAACCCATTTAGGCTAACTTCCGTGCTTTGGCGGCCAGTGGCACCTGCGTTTTCCTGTTCGTCTTGTGAGGACTGTTGGATGATAACAATCAGCGAACACACGAGTCACTAGCGAACACATCGAAACAGGGGCTACCTCCTGCGAACTGGTCAAAGCAAAGCCTTCAAACACCAAAAAAACTGTTTTTTTCCTTGGAAGTGGGCTGGGGCATCCATAGGCTTTGCCTCGCACTCCTTGTCCACCCTTTCCGCACTCCTCTCGGCAGCTCCTCTCCCTGATGGCACTCCTCATACATACAGCTGCCACTCCTGCGCTCCGGTTTCGCCCAAACGTTGATCTACACACAGTTTGTGTCCACTTCAACCCCTGCTTTGACGATCACCTTCCAAAGAACAGCCATCCTCCAACCTCAAGTTAGGCATGAGTCCATTCTTGTTGATAACTAGCCGCGACTGGCTGCAAATCAAGCAGATCGTGGATGGCCTCTATGACATATCATGACTCCCCGAAGCCTCAGCAAACATGCAAGAGATGCTAGCTTGTACATTAATTAAACATAAACAACACCAATCAGGCCTGCACCGCAGCACTATTTCAATCATGTGCTCTCAGTGCAGTCCCTCTGCGAGGCGGCGGGCTCGGTTGTGACATGGGCCATGTTCTTGACCGTTTCAGCTGTGCACCAGGGATATCATGACTAGGCTCCTTCGTCCGGTGTCGCGCCGCTTCAGCTGTACTCGAAGGATGGCTTCCTTGGTCTCCACTTCAGATCGTGGGCCAAATTGCATTTGGTGGACGTAGGGGGGCCTTGGTTGCATTTATTCGATGGTACTTTCAGTCTGTAGAAATATTCGGAAATAAACCAGTGGGATTCACCAGGTTAATCCTGGTTACATGAAAGGAAGAATGCACAAGACTTATTATCCCATCTTATCCCTGACTCTGGCCAAAGAAATGGAGAAGTTCTCCAGGCATGTTGAACCGTTAAACCAACTGAGCACTTGGCAGATCTCTAACCGGATGGTACCGGACGGTACTTGGTTTGTCTAACTGAGCACGGGCTTCCTAAGCTTTTACCAGACCGGATCGAACAAATGAGAAGCCCCCCACGAGGCTAATGCAATTGGAAATCTGTTAGTTTTGAAAAACTTTCAATAGAAATCTCCATCCAAAGGCCTCCAAGACCTGAAAAAACATCAAAAACCAAACTCCACATCCGAGACCACATCCGACATCCTACCAGGTAGGATGTGGGATGTGGTCTCGGATGTGGAGTTTGGTTTTTTGACGTTTTTCAGGCCAGTTTTCAGGTGAGTCACATCCGACATCCTGCCAGGTAGCATGTCGGATGTGAAGTGATGTTTGTCTTATGTGGTCCCTTGATTAATGAACACTCCTAGAATTGAGAAATCTGCAGATTTCCATTGAGATTTGGAGATTTTGGATGCCTTTAGATGAGCAGTGGTCGAAACCCCTTAGTCTTGGCCTTATAATCCTTCTCTGCTTACGCGTCGGCTTCCGCAATGCTTACGCTACCAATGTTTTCGCTTACGCGGTGATGTTGTTTCTCTTAGGGCTTACGCGTTTCTTACGCGGCGGTTTTGTTACCGGCGTTTTGGCACCAGAGCGGTGAACACTCTTTGTTCCCAACCTGTCAGGTGAGGGTGGTTACAGTAGATTTTAGAAGAAGATCCCTCTCCTTCTCCTCTGCACCGCTTCACTAGAGCAAGCGCCAGATCACAGTGGGGAATCCCGGACTCCAACAGCATGCGCCAAATAGCGGTGGGCACTCCCGGACCTCAACCGCAAGCTCCAGATCGCAGTGGGCACTCCCGGGGATCACTCGAAGTAAAGTAATTTACACTTTGCTTGTATGATTCACTTGGTGGAGCCCGCTGCGTCTTTTTGTCAGCCATGGGGACCAAGCAGTTGGAGCGAGGGTCACAGTGCGCTTTGTGCTTGAAAAGTGCTCAGCTGCTTGCTTTGGTTTCTTTAGAAAAAACCTTTGGTGGACGTGAGCAAAGGGCTTCATCTGAGAAGTTCGCTTCCGCAAACCTTACGAATCGGCTTACGCGGGGCTTACGCGGAATTCGTGTGGTCGTGGGCCACTCGACCCCTGCAAACAGGGCCTTTGAGAGATTGAGTCCACAACCCTTTTCTGCTTGCAGTGTTTCTCAGCAAAAAAGAGTATATTGGCTGTGTAACTAGAAGACTCAAAATTGCTTACGCACCTCTTACGCATCGAGTGTCCCAAGCTTGGCTTCCACCGAACCTTACGCAACCCTTACGCCGTGCAGACTTTAGCTTACGCGACAGTCTTGCAGTTTAATCGGATCATGTGGTTCTTGCATTCAGGTTTTGAACGCTGCTCAAATGGAATTATCCATTGAAAAATTGGCCACATCTGACATCCTACCAGGTAGGATGTCGGATGTGAGATTTTGGAGGACGTTAAATGGACATGTCTATTCAAAAATTGCAGATTTCGAGATTTGGATAGCAAATGCAATTGGAAAAACACTTCAAAATAGCAGTATATATTTTTAAAATGCAATTGGAATGACTTGGTGATAGCCAAGTAGACACTTTTGAAATGCAATTGGAAAATGCAATTTCTGACGTATCGTCCCAAGGCAATTGCATTTTTAAGAGTGGGGGTATCTTAGTATATCTTAGTCACCATTCAACTGTGCTGAGCGAGCAAAAATCCATGGTGCTCAGTTGGTGGATGGTTCACCAGTACAGTACCAACCTGACCTATCAAACCAGAAACCTAGTCCACCCGGAGTCTACCTAGTCGTCTGTTGCACTTTCATTCTGGCAGTCAAACACCCCCTCTCGGATCCCGTGTCGACCCCTCCGACCTCCGACCGTTCCATCTCAAGAGTCCCAACGATCCAAGGTGACCAGCCGTTGCCCCACTTCGACATCCGCAGGATTGGCCAAATCCAAGCCTCCGACGGCGGCGGTCAAGGGGAGGTCTTCCGGAGTCCCCCCTGCGACGACGGCAGGAACTGAAGGATGGGAGCGATCGATCGAAGCCTTACTGGCTGGTATTCGTTGTATCCAAGGATAGGCTGCGACGGAAAGGTCACTGGATGGACTTTTTGGCACAAGTGCAATAGTAACTTCGGGCAATTGTAGGGAACACTTTTTGACCAACAACAGAATCAAACAGGCACCAAAACAAATCGAAACCATGTCGAACACACGGTTTGCAGGTGTGCAGGGGATTTGCTGTTGTACCATGTTGTAAATCTTTGCTGGCCTTCAGGTAGAACATCGTAGAACCATTGAAGGATTTAGATGGATTTAGAGCAACCTGACTTTAAAACAACATTTTTGCAAGCAACACGGCCGGTGGCAAACCACCTTCATTGATCGGTATACAGAAGTTGAGCTGGCAAAAGTAGGGGTTGGGTAGATGCCCACCCCTCGCCAATCCCATTGACGTATCAGCAAAATGGGTCGTGCATCCCCTACAAGTATACTTGCAAATATCACTAGGAGCATCCATCTCTTTTTGTGAACAATATGTGCACATATGTGCACCATGAATTCCCACACCAACTATCTTCTGAAAGCGAACTTCAGCGAGGCTCGGTAGTGACCATTGGGACACTGCGCGTTGAACGCCCGGAGCTGGCAGGTGCGCTGAAGCGCGTTCACGTGCACACCTTTCGGGCCGCGTTTTTCGCGCGGAACCGGTGAATGGGCAACGTTTCACGGAACCGGACAGGTCAGGTGAATGATGGCGAATGCGAGACTTTGGACTGGTGCCATGCTACAACATGTGCGCATAACAACGACAAAATTGTAGAAATGATTTTGCAAGTCTAGACATTTTCGGAATAACTTCACGTCTGAAGAACCTTTAGGATCCTTTAGGCAAGGTTGGATGGTACAAATACTGTATAATATATGCATGAGAAACCAGAAGCTTCCCAACCCGCACATTAGTATTTCATGGGCAACCCCCCTGCACAGTATATATCAAAGTATATATATCAATTGTGTAATTTTGTTATTTTCCACAAATCGTCTTCTGCCAAAATATTTGGTACTATTCAGTGGTACCCCCACCTGCAGTTGCATGTTGCCAGGATGAATTATTTGCCCGTGGTCAGTAGGATATAATACCATTTGAACACATCTCGGGTAGGTGTAGGTGACCCTATGCCCCTGCAATATTTTGCTCAGATTGAGGATATCCTGATATTTTATACAGTATACCCTTTGCACAACATGTGTTTCTACACCCTCCAACTCTCAGAGCCAGTGAGAACCCCGTAGCACAACTACAGGCATCCTCCAGAGTCTCGCTTAGCCTCGCGGCCGCTCTTTTCACCCCTGGTCCGTCGAGGAGCGGAAGCTGGGCGCGGCCAGAAGAAGCAAGTAAGGAGCTTCAGTGCAATGCAAAAGCCGCCACATGACCTGACCAAGTAAGCGAAGAGGACCCGACACATGAATTGACCCAACTCCGTGGCACAGTGGGTGATTTTTACAAAGATCACAATGTGCTCATGCAACACTTCAGGCAGCACCGCGGCACATGTGTATGTGGCATCAGTCTGAGTCTGTGCATGCGGCATCATCTTCGACCACCCCCTCCAACCCCCACCCAACACCACCCCCCTCCAAGCCCTGAAACTGAAGTGTTCTGCGGCAAAAAACTCATAAAACACGCGTATGGTTTTAGATCCCCAGGCACCAACTTGTTACTTCTCTTCCAGCGACCTAGGCCTAGGGCTTCATGCT